TTTCTGGTCAGTCCAGCAGCTCCATGAGTCAGGAGAAGCTTCCAGCGTCCAGCTAACCCATGAACTTGAACTGGACTTGCTTCCTACTTCTATGACTACCACAACTTCTACGTTAAGCCATCTCCTGGTAGAAATCCCTTTCTCTGTACATGACATATAAATGTCTCTGCTTGTGCTTCTCTAGAGAACCCAGCCTAACTCAAGTTCTGAGACCAGCTTCCAAACTTTGTCCATAGATGTTTTTTCTTCTCCTTCCACCCCCAGGTATCCAAGTCTGGCCAACTCACTGTCATTGACTCATTCCAACTCAGGGCAACCGCAGAGGACAGGGGCGTACTGCCTGGTGTGTTTCCCAGTCTGGAATCTACAAAAGTAGAGTGACTCATATTTCTCTCTCGAATCAGTTGGCGGTTTTAAACTGCTGACTTTGGGGTCAGCAACGCAATTCATAACCACTACGCCACCAAGAAACCCCCAAACCGGTTTTAAATGCAGGCGGCTGTGATACATTCATGTGACTTGTAAAAGGCAGACTTGTAAAAGCCTGCCAGAGCAGGCTCCCAGGTGGACCCACAGTCCTCTGTGTCATTGGGATAAGACAGGAGAACGGACTGAGGCAGCTCTGGGACCCGGGACTTATGGACATTGCTGTGTGAAGTGTCTTCCCTCACACACTTCCTGAAGTTAGGAAGTCACAGGAGGCTGGGATCCCTGTGCCACTAGAGGGAGCCAGGGTCACAATGTCCACATGGCTCCAGGTCACAAGACCAGAGGGAAGACAGGATGACTGGGGCCACCATTCCCCTTTCACGTTCACACTTTCCCACACATTCAAGCCACCTCGGGATGGAGAGAACTATGCACACAGGGCGTGGGCTGTTTCCTGAACTACCAGCCCTGGCACCCAGGGGGACTGCAAACAGCAAGGGAGGCAGCCCCCGCCTGCCCGCCAGCAATAGTCTGCTTCAGGGAGGGCAAAAATCTGCTGGGAGGGAGAGGCTTTGTGTTTACCAAGGTCTTCCCAACTGGGCTTTCTGGGGTCACAGTTTCCGAAAGCGGGGTCCCTCTAGGATGCAGGCAGCACTGCCACGCTCCCAGGATGTTTGCATTATATCATCCCAGAGAGACAGTGGTTCTGCTCCGGGCAGAGACAAGTCCAGCCTGGCAGCACAGCTCCCCGGACAATAGTACTGGCCTGTGGCATCCACCCTTTCCCAGCTGGCCCCACTCAGGCTTCCTCCGAGGTGACATTGTTGGCACCAACAATTCCTAAGCCTTCATCATCCATTTTAGCCAGCTCTTAAGTCAACCGAGAACTAATGACAAGCGCAAAAGCCTATTGACAGGACTGAAGCCGTTGGGCCCCAAGGGAGTGATTCTTCTCCATGCCAACATGATGTGGGGAGGGCGGGGAGGTGGCTGGAAGAACAACACAAACACCCTGTGTCCTTCGTGGATGAAGCAGACCAAGGTACAGGGTGAAAGAGAAGGCGCGCCCCTGAGCAGAACATGAACATCAAATGCCTTTCTTTTGGTGGTACTGTTCCTAACTTTGTCTGCATGCAGATGGTACCTGGCTGTCAGATCCCTTAGCTCCTATGATCTAAATATAGATTTACACGCCGAGAGAGTAGACTAAGCGTGCCATAGAAAAAAACACACTGGTTGTCCATCTCCCCTTCCTCCGTCCCCACCCCCCACAGACAATGGCTTTCATCTCTTTGTGATGGAGATCCCGGCTCCATCAAAGATCACCAGTTTTTCATACAATTTATTAAAAAAGTGACTTAACTAGCGCATCATGTGTGAGTTTTATATCAAGAAAACTACAGAAGAAAGAAAGAAAGGCAGGCCAAAGTTGACCAATGGTTACCATGGGTAAAGGAGAAAATGTTTGCTTAGGGGACATTGAGCTTATGTTAGTGGTTGTGGAATAATTTCAAGAAGGATATCAATAATGGTTCCACAACAGAGTATAATTAATTGCACTGGTTTACACTTGTAGTAGGTATTGGATTGGAGAGTTTTTCATTGTGTATATTTTTACCTCAATTAAAATAATACACGAATAAAAATGAGTATAAGAAGACACTTCTAAAATTGGTTGTGGGGATGATTGTACAACTCCTCTTGATATGACTGAAGGATTGAATTGTACGATAGGTGGAAGACATGCCGATACAAGTGTTTTTCTTTTATAAAGAGAAGATCTCAGTGTTGTCAAGGCACGCATGTCGACGCATGGGTACTTGGCCATCTGGCTGCAGCTGATGCGGTGACAACATTGCTGGGTTTAACCCAGGTTACACTCTTTCTCAATCAGGGCTATTTTTGTCCTCAGCATGCATTCAGCCTCACAGTTAAATGGGAGCCAAGTGAACTTTGAAGGGAAGGAGAAGAATTGTGGGGAGTTTCATGTGCTTTTAGTGCCTTGGTGAGCGGAACCATGAAAGAAGGAAGAGCTGGGCCAGTTGCAGAAGCGTGAGCTGTGAGCAGGCTTAAGGAAGGCAGAAGGACACAGTGGTTGTTCAAAATCAGGATTTGTTTCTTACGCGTTAGTGTATCTGTGTCCTTGGGCCAATGGCACAGCGCCTTCTTAGGCCCAGGACACCCATTTTGGCTGCTTGTGCCCTCATCTTTGACTGGTAGGACTAAGTTAAGATTGCATGGTATCAGCAGTCCCCCAAAGGGATATGCTGCCCCAGGAATCAGCTCCAAATGCCCATGCAGTCAGGAACTATCTATTCACAACGCTGTGTCTCCTTTTTCAGCTGCTTAAGAAGGTTTGACCAAGACCGGGTGTCCATGAGTTCTTGGCTACAGTTGAAACACACACACACACACACACACACACACACACACACACACACTGATTTAGAATCACTTGACTGGGGAAAAACAAATGTCGACAACGAGAAATTTCTGAAATTTCTATGTAATGTATACATTTCCAAAAAAAAACCACACCCCACCAATTCAAAGCCACTAGATTCTGCTTTACATTTGAATGGATATATTAGCTAGGGCAATGTTTACTACTATAAAAAATAAATTAACCCTTCATTGCATGTTGGTAGCAATGTCTTAGACATTGGTCCAATATATGTGCTCTCAGTTTGTGTACAGCCTTCAGGGTGCAGACTCCCTGTCTCTTGTGACACCCTTCTCCACTGGGGACTCTGAGTGTTCAGCATTAGTCGCAGATGAGGAAACAAGGGTGCAGAAGGCCCACTGGCTTTGTAACTGCGGTGGCAGGGGACGGTCAGCATCACCTCTGCGCACATCGCAGGGTCAGAACTAGTCAACCGGCCCCAGATCTCTGCAGAGCAGCCTTAGCAACACGGTTCCCAGCTGGGCAGTCGTTTCTCAGTGGCTGTGGACAGGAGAAGCTGACTTCTAAAGGCAGCTCATGCCTCTGACCCCATGACTCTCAAGTGCTTGGAAACCCGTTCCGTAGCACATTGGATAACACCATCATTCAGCCTCTTTGGAGCCTACCAGAGACCATGGCTCCCTACTTTGTAAGGAATCTGTTTTCATTTTTGACAGATCTAATTGTTAGAAGGTTCTTACCAGTAACTCCTACCTGCTGATCTTGATTCTACCCTTGTAGAATCATATGGAGGGAATCTATTCCACCTTCTACTTGATAAGTCTTCAAAAGATTCAGGCTCCACCACATCTCCATTAAGGGATCAGTTTCCAAGCACCCCCAGCTTCTTATTGAATTTCACTCCACGCATTACACTTGTTATACTCACTAGACTGTTCTCGTCCATCTTAAAAGTCTTGCTTGGCATTGTAACCAGTCCTCCGGACATGAGGTATTGAGTGTAAGGGGACACTAGGAGGAAGATCGTGGATATAGTATTCTGACAGCTATTCATATAAGGAATACAAATGTTGTGCACCCTGTTTCTACTTTCACTCCAACCGAATGATTGGTTGAAGCAGATAAGCCTCGGGGTCCTGGTAACAGGCCCTGTTGTTGTTAGGTACCGTCCAGTCAGTTCTACCCTTAGCAACCCTACGCCCCACAGAATGAAACACCGCCGGCCCAGCGCCATCCTCACAACTGCTCCCAGGTCTGAGCCCAGCGTTGTAACCCCTGTGCCAATCCATCATGGCAAGCCTTCCTATGTTTCAGCTCTCCTTTCCTCAACGTCCTTGCATGTGAGCCATTTCAGGGGCCAGTGCTTGTTCCAGCACAATGCATTCTAATATGAAAATATGGCTGAACTAAAATAATGTAAAGAAAGCTCAAGATACCACCACGTTTGTGCAGGCCCCACATCACACAGGGAGCCCCAATGCTGTAGTGATTATGCATTGGGCTACGATCCTCATGGTTAACAGTTCAAAACCACCAGCAGCAGCTCGAGAGAAAGACTGGGTTCTACTCCCACCAACAGTTACTGTCTTGGGAACCAACAGGGGGCGCTGTAAGTCAGCTTTGACTCGATGGCCGTGGGTTTGTTTTGACATCCCATTAGCCCAGTGTTAGAACAATCTTGGAGGCGAGCATAAATTAAACACAGAATCTTTTTTTTTTTTTTAATAATAAAGCTTAGGTTAAATATCAAGAAGAAAGAGCTGTAGTCCATTCCTCTTGCTAAAAAGAATTGCGTTGGTTGCTCTTTCTCCCTTGAGGCTGGCATTGGTCAAAGCGTTTCTATAACAATATTTGTCAGGCATGTGTACTTAGGATAATTAACCATTTAGGATCCAAAGCTCAGCCTTGACCCCAGGGCAAAGTTCAGCAGGGTTAGGAAAGAAGGAGGGGTGGCAACAGGAACCGCAGGGAGGAACCGGGGTGAGCCGGCGCTGGGAGCGGGCTGCCATAACTGTGATCCAGCAGAACGTGCGTAGGAGCTGCTGCATCTCAGGCTGCCGATCTCCTCTGGAGACCTTTAGCCAACTGACAATAAAGGATGTTTTTGACTAACAGAGAAATAGTTTACAAATATATATTTTTGGTTCTTAGAAGTATCTTGAAAGACCTGTTGCCATCGAGCAGGTGAAGTACGTGGAGAAAACCTCCAATTGTACCTCTTGTGGAAAAGTGCCCCAGGCCAATAAACGATCTCAATTATATTGGGCGGTACTCGTTTGATTAGAGAAGGGGTAGGAGGCATCCTGAGCGATCTTCTGATGAACTTTAGAAACAGCGTGGAAGGGGACGGATTGTAAGTACCCTGCATGACGAACAAACTCTGCTCCTGTCTGGCTTCATGTTGAATGTGTACCTAAGTTGGAACCGTTGGGTAGTTAGTGGGTTAAATGTTTGTCGTTGTAGATTGTCGATAGTGTAACTTCCGACCCATAAACAGCACAGCACTAAATAAACCCTTCCCGATAGCCTAAAACATCTTCCACGTGGTAACAATAGTGTTTGATGCACATCAAAAAGTCAGGTCCGTTTGTTACTACAAACCGGTGTACGTACCGCATATTTTAATATACCTGTCTGAGCAGGAACTAGTTCATAACAACTTCAGGTGGTACGCAAGTCGAACGGTCCAATCCCAGGGACCTCCTGCATGGGCTTTCTTTGATCGGCCCCAGTTTTCTTTGTAGCTTCTGCTTTCTAAAGGCACTGTTCACACACTGTGGCTAATTCCCTTTGTTAAATTTCACAGCGAGTGCAGCTTCCCCGGCATTTGTTATTGCAGTCCTGTGAATGCAGGCTGTTCAGATAAAGGGAAAACAGAGTGCATCCATCTGTGTGCAAATTAAAAATGAGTTTAACCCCCTGCCGTCCATGGCTCTCTCCCTTTGGGCAAAGTGTGCCCTGTGCTTTGGACTGACAAAACAAACCATGATGCAGATATATAAAATGTACGTGTTTTTCATTCCTATATAGAGATCGATATCGTTTGAACGTGTGTGGGAGAACTTCAAAGCAGCGGCTTTGATAGGAGACACTGTTGGCACAAAGAAAATACCAAGGGCGAGAGGCCCCGGGGCAGAGGCCGGCATCCAGAGCGATGGGCGGGAAGTCGCGAGAAAGAAGTGCACGTCCTTGGCCTGTGAAGAGGGCAGCATGGGCCTCACCCTCCCAGGTAGGAGGTCGGTTCTGACAAATGATCAGCTTTTGTGCCAATGAGTCAGAGTATTGGGATCGCAATCAGCTGGGGTTCCAGAAGAACAGAGAGTAGGAATGGAGGAAGTCAGGCAGGTTGGGCCGGGGAGGTGTGGAGACAATGGCAGGATCTGGGGGTGATTCCCTAGGGCTGAGCTGTCCATAGCCCTATCACCAGAGGAAGCCTGTCCTTGGGGAGGTAGTGCAGGCATCGCCCGGTGACTTGCCCCATCTGGAGTGGCTTTTCCAGAGAGGAAAAGAAAGAAAACAAAGGGTTTATTACATGTAGGAAGAGGTTTTCTGTTGTCGCCGTCAATCATAACACCCATGTATTCGTGTGCCAAATATGCACGGGACACCCCCAAACACCAGGTCTTTTCTAGGGATTGAGCATGAAGGAGTCAACAAGTTAGGATAAGGTCCCAGTCCTGAGGGACCTCTATTCTAGAGGGAGAAGATAATAATGAACAAGAAAATAAAGAGAAACAGCTGCAGAATCAGCTATGTGAAGATCCGAGAATGGAAGTTCCAGGCTGAGGGAAGAGCAAGTTACACACTCTGAGACCAAGACAGCGGCCACGGCGAACCCAGTTGGGAGAGCACTAGAGCCCAGGACTGAGAGGCCGGGAGAGTTCAATGTTGTTGTACTCAAAGGGCAATGGTAAGCCGGTGGATGGCTTTGCACTTACCTGTTTTATTGCTTTTTGTGATTAAAATATGGATGTTTGTAAACATAATAAAAATGTGGAAATGACTATAAAGCATCTCGTCTACCCATCCCTACTTCCAACAAGTACCAACGGATGGCCTTCCCTGTTTTTTCCACACCCTGCCTCGTCCTCCTCGTCCTCCTCATCCCACCTAGATTTTGATGCAAATCCCAGATCTCATTTCAATTCACCCAGAAATGGTTCACTAGGGGTTAATCCTAAAAATACAAAAGCAATATCACCACCTCAATAACTTCACCAGATATTCTGTCATGATTCAGAAATTCTGGGTATCCATCACTTTTATTTTCATCTACTCAAATCGGGATCCAAATAAAATCCCCATGCTAATTGGTAAGGATTTTGCTCAAGTGTCTTACATGGAAATCCACTGAGTTTGGGGTTTGTTTGTTTACTTCATCACAGAGTTTTGAGTAAGGAAATAATTTGTTTGGCACACTTTTTAAAGGCCAGACTAGCTGGTGTGAGGACCAGATGGTGAGAGAGCAGGATACAGAGAAAGCAAGAGTTAGGCTGCCGTTCAAGTGAGAGGTGATGTTGGTGCCTCACACCACAATGCGGACCAAGAAGATGGAAAGGAACTGGATGAATAGCGAATGTGTTCATTTGCCCTTTCACTTTCTAGCTAGTGTTTACCTGACTTATTTTTAGGTACAGACTTCTGGATTGGCAAAATGTAATTGCTGGCATATACAAATGATAGATATACACCAATGATTAACACACGAGGGAAGCACATTGATACTAGAAATACACATGATTGGGCATAAACTCCTCTGACCCTTGGAAGAATATCATGAACCTACAAAAAAATACTCCTTTGTTTATGGGGTCACCATGAATTAGAATCAATGTGAAGGTAATGGAATTGGGTTTGGATTTTGTCCATAAGAACCCACACTTCTGAAAATAAGACGAATCAAACTACCCTACTTTATTTTTCTCCCTAAGTGATTGGCTTCACTCCAATTTCATTGTTGTGTTTTTTCAATGCAACCTAAGTGAATAACTCTTTTCAAAGAAGGAATAGAACATGTGGGTTTAATATTAACGTCTTAGCATCTGTTGCTGAAGGAGACCTATGAGATTGTCCATGCAAATGGTTACCCAGGTGACTCTGACTCATGATTGCCCTACAAGAGAGAGGAGAACTGCCCGCTTGGAGTTTCTGAAGCTGTAAATCTTTACGGACATAGAAAGGGGCATCTTTCTACCAAATCAGTGAGATTCGCTGGGGATGCACGAGAGACCCAAATGCTGGTTCCATGTGGTGCTCTTCAGACTTGGCCAGGGAGCTGTGGCCCTGGACAGATTGCCAAGCATTTTTGGACAAACATTTCTGATGATCCTGCGCCAAACCTGCCCCTAGCTGTTCTGCAGCCCACCTGCTCTGCATCCTTTCTTTCTGAGCTGTGCTACGCCTGCCTTCTCTGACAACTCTCCCGGCCTCCCTTCATCCGGACTGCACTGCATAGCCATCCTGAGGGATGCCTGTGTGACTCAGAAAACACCGACCTCCCTCTTACTCAGTTTCACATGTCCTGGGCATCTTTCTCCTCACCCGCAGTGTCCATCGGAATGACCCGGCTTATAGTTTGTGGAAGCTCGACTTATAAATGTGCTTTATGCCCACTTGCAACTTGAGCCAGCTTTCTCCAGATGCCCCAAGTCACTTGGTTTATGGTTTAGAGCTCCCCAAAATGGCATGGGACTTGAGAGGGAAGAAAGTAGAACACAGGGACATTTCCAAACCTATTGCCATTATTTTGCCTTAAATGCCAACTGGCTCTGTAAGGCCTTTGGGCACCGGGAGGTAAGGCCACGATGGGGTTGTTTTCTACTCTATTTGGATCCATTATCCTTGGCATTCAATGGTGCCTGCAGCATTCCCATCTCCCGTCAGCCGTCCTTGCCCGTGTGTTTTCTGGTCTGTGCACTCAGTGAGAATAACACGTTGTGACGGGCGGGCTTGTCTTGTTTGACTCCTTTACAGAATGTCCTCCAGCAGCCGTGGCTGCGTGGGGGGACAAGGCGACTCCACCTCTGAAGTGAGCTGATGCCATTCCTTGGGGGTTGGGTTTAGGATTAGTGGCACTGTCACAGCTGCTCTGCCCACGCCATGCCATGCCACTCCCGAGTCTAGGAGGTTTGCCTGGTTCTTCACACCGAGGAGGAGCTCTGAAGCTCTGTCTCCACACAGCTGGACATCCAGACGAGAGCTGAAACATGAAATTTAAAACCCCGGTGCTTGTGTCGTAAGGGAACAGACCACTGTGGCTTATATGTGGACACGCGAGGAGGGAGAAGCGTGGCCCTCAGGTCTGCTAGAACAACGCTCTGGTTGGACATGGCAGGCACTATCAATAGGCTGCGATTGCATCACCCGCTGTTGCTGTGATGCTCAGCGGTCCCAGTGTCCTCCGTCCTGGGTAGATCAATAACTCAAGGACTCTCCACCGTGGAGTTTCCACTACCCTTGAGACTCCTTCTGGACTCGGGTGGATTGTTCCTATCCATGACATCATTATGTCCTAGAGAAAAGGTCTCAACCTGTGGGTTGCGACCCTTTGGGGGTCGAACAACTCCTTCACAGGGGTGGCCCAATTCATCACAGTAGCAAAATGACAGTGATGAAGTAGCAACAAACTTAATTTTATGGTTGGGGGTCACCACACATGAGGAACTGTATGAAAGGGTTGCAGCATTAGGAAGGCTGAGAACCACTGCCCCAGAGGACAAGTCTGCTAATGGATCACGACCAGTTTTAACCGTAGGATATTTGGCTGGTGGGAAGAATTCAACACTCTAACAAAAGTTTTGTGATTCTAATCCACCCAAAGGGATTCAGAATAAAGGCATGCCAATCTACTTCTGAGAATTCTTCCACAATGCCAAGTTCTTCCTATGAGCTACTCATCAAATCTCTGCCTACCCGTGGCCATGGGGCCCACTCAGACTCTCATGAGCAGCCCGATAAGAAGAACAGAGCTGCCCATGGCCTTGCCAATGCTGTCACCTTGACGAAAGCAAGCAGCCTCATTTTTCTCCCATGGAGCACCTGGTGGGTTTGAACCGCCAAACTTTGGGTTAGCAGCCCACTACTTAAATTACTGGGATACCAGAGTTTTTTTTACATCTCTTCAATGACCAGAAAAATGGTATAAAGCTATTTAGTATAAAGCCACCTGAGATTGAGAGACGCTGAATAACTCTCCCAAAGCCGCTGGGCTAGTTCAGGTCATTTTATTCCTCTGCCCCAATAGCTGAACCACGTTGACAAGCCCTCTGTTTGTCTGAACTTCTGTCTGATCATTTCTACTTGGTTAGGTTCATTGCCTTTTGTTCGCCATGTCAGCCCCCCACACTTCCTGGTTCTGGAGGGAAATGGGTCTCTTTCAGGCCCAAAGGACAGGGCTCTGCAGGACTTCCTGTTCAGGAAAGCAGGAAGTGCCTGGAGTGTCTCCAGGAAGTCTGCCAGTGAGAGATTGCAGGCAGAAGCACCAGGCCCAGCTGAGAGGCCCCCGAGTGGGGAGCTCACAAGGTGACCTAAACTGCAGGCCAGAACTTCTGCACTTCCTTTTGCTTGATTATTTCAACAATCTTCCCATGGGGGAAGAAGGAAGAAGTTAATTTCAGAGAAAGCCTTCTGAGACTCTTGAACTGGGTGAGGGGGTCAGCTGGGAGCCACGGGCCACCACCACTGCCCCCAGAGTGCCAGCCAATTAGACTTCCCCCTTTTATCTTTTTAAATGATATCATTGTAAGCAAAGGGCCAGATGTCAGTTTGTTCAGCAGAATGACAGAAAATTGGTTAGAAAATGGAAGGGACATGGAGACGTATGAAGTAGGACCATATGTGCAAATTAATAATTGAGAAAATAAAAGGCATTTAAAGGTTCCGGAGGAGAAGACAGTTGGACCCAGGTTTCAGCGATATGCTACATTATGTGAGCGTTGCGCATCAGAGAGTCATGAAGATTTGGGTCTAACAGGTACCAAAGAATAGATAGTCCACGGCAGGGTCCCCTGCTCAGAACATATTTGGCTATTCCAATCTTGATGTTAAGAATTGGTCTGCATCATTTATTCAAAACATGTGTTGGCATGGGTACCTTTGGGAGATGAGCCCTGGTGCCTCACTGGGTAAGAACTCAGCTGCTAAATTGAAGGTTGGTGGTTCAAATTCACACAGCGACTTCCTGGCAGAGGAATCGGTGACCTGCTTCCTTTAAGTTACAGCTTAAAGACA